TTTTTTTTTTTTTTTTTTGGTTTGGAATGCATCTGGCAAAGTGGAGCTTGTTCTGCTTTAGGGAGCTACGTCCGGCAGGCTTAGTATGAGTTGTGTATAGCAAATTAGCAATAGTGCTGTCTATAATAGTGGAACTGGGGCGCTAAATCTGTCTGTAGTAGTAGAACTTGGGCCTAAATCTGTCTATAGCAATAATTATGTCTGTAAGCTTCCTCCTGTCTTTAGTCCACACTTTGTTGAATGACAGGGGCAAGGTTCCACTAGCAACGCGCCTGAATCTGGACGTGTCTGTGGAGAGGTGCAGAACAACGCCATTAATCTGCTTTTCTGCATCTCTGCGTAAAACACAGTCCGATTCAGGCGTCGAAGCCAATCCCTTTTGCTAGCGGGACCTCGGCTCCAGCAGGTTGAACTTTTCCGAGCTCTTTTTTTTTTTTTTTTTTTTTTTTTTTTTTTTTCCCCTTTGCGTGGGGGGGTTGGAGAACATGAATCTTTGATTGGAATGAATTGGGATGAGATCATGGCACACATGGTGATATATTTTCTTGAATATGCGTTCCCAGCTTTTTAATGCATTTGATATTTAGGGTGAAGAAGCTTTTTATTGCATTTGATATTTTAGGTAAAAAAAAAAGTTCGAAAAATTCAACCAACGGGCCTATTTCAGTTGGTACACCCAATGAACTGTTGAAATACAGACCCGTATTCGAATGTAGATATACGATCAGATGAACAGATTTTTTTTTTTTTTTTTTTTTTTTTGGGTTAGAATAATTAATAATAATTGTGAATTGCGTGGGGACGGGCAGCGCAATGATCATATCAAAAGGCCGTCTACCTTTTTTTTTAATTTTTAAATAAATATATAAAAATGAACTATGCTTGCGCTGCTGTGTTCATGCGGAGTTCCGATTTTTTTTTCCTTAATAAAAACAATTATGATGAAGAATGACAAGCAATGGATAATTGACTGCCATTGGTCTCTTCTTCTTCTTCTTTTTTTTTTTGTTTTTTTTTTTGTTTTAATTTGTTCAGGTCAAACCGCGTTTTATTAAGCATGCCGGGAACCCGGCCCCGGGGCACGGTTCCAGTAGCACACGAGTCATGGCCTAGTGCGACGTCTGCGACACTCCAGAAAAACGAAGAAAACTCCAGAAAAACGAAGAAAAGAGAAAAAAGAAAATTTAAGTGGTGACCTCTCAAGTCCCAAGGGGGGGACGAGCCCGACCTTTGGAAGTGTTGCAAAAGGCTGTGCCATCTTCTTGAACGGTAGAATGGACAGCGGATGAATGTATCCCTCGCAGAACGTAGCCAGATTCACTTCTTCCATCTTTCTTTATTGCCTGAGGGTGCACCTATGACAAGTGCTACGTGACGATTGCAGTCCGAGTCTTACGTACCACAGAGAGGGAGTGGAGTCGCTTAGTGTGCCCGACGAGACTACCTCCTGTGATGGTTCCCATGTTCAAGCGTGAAGTCCTTATATTTTGAGAAAGAAATAAAGTAATAAAGTACTCGAGGGGCTTTCTATTGACCGGAAAAGAAAGCACCGTCAATACGAACGACTTAAGTACTTAATTTTTTTATTTTTTTTCGACAACCACCAATCAAAAACAGACTTGGTATTTCTTTTCCCCACATCCTGTTATTCACCAAAAAAAAAAAAACAAGAAAAAGTAAATTAAAACACAAATTTTAAATATACAAACATCTTTATTTTGCTACCCTCGGATTTCGATGCAGCAACGGCTGGTGGATGTCCCCCGGACGTCCCACAGGTGTCGCCGTGCGACAATAGACCTTACTCGGTTGCTAGTGGAACCGTGCCCCCGGCGTCCCATACGAAAGTTTATGTGGCCACCATGAGAGAACAGGGGCCAGGTCCCACTAGCAAAGAGGATAGGATCAAGCTCCTGAATCTGGATGTGTTTTATGCAGAGGTGCAGAAAAGCAGTTCAATTTCGATTTCCTGCACATCTCCACAATTACGTCCAGATTCAGGCATTCTATCCGATCCTCTTTGCTAGTGGGACCGCGCCCCAGGGTGTCACCGCCCAAACCCTCTCCCAGGGACTGCCCCTAATCCCCTGCTAATCAACTTGAATCAAGCCGTTGTTTTTTTTTTCTTTTTCTTTTTCTTTTTTTGGAGAAATGGAAGAGGGCATCGCCACATTCAATTTGGTGGAAATCACCTTGTCTTTTTTTTTTTTTTTTTTTTTTTTGAAATGACCTTGTCTTTGAGCATTACTCGTATGAGTATTTTGTCTACTGTTTTCTGCACGTGATTGCTGTCAGATTCGACTAGTAAGGTCGTAATTGCGACTAGATTCGTTCACGGATGAACTCAGATCAATTGCGATCAGATTTGTTCACGGATGAGCTCATGATCCGAGTATAATGGCAGTATGCTCTTGGTCTAGTGAAATGGAGAGGGCATCGAACAAACCGTGTTTGATTTTGAAGTCCTGTCCTTCCACGGTGAAATGCCATCAGCTGATGGGGAAGGAGAGGAGCGACTGAAGAACAGTTCCGTCCAGACGACGACTCGGAGGTGTTTGGTTCTTGGGGATCGCGACAGAAGAGAGGGGCAAGGGTGAGAAAGGGGAGGGAAGAAAAAAAAATCATAATTGGCAGGAGTAGCAGTAGTACTAGTGGGTTTAATTTTTGAATCACCAGTTCGCTTGGTTTTAATTTTTAATTTTTGAATCACCAGTTCGCTTGGAGCTTAGGTCAGCCTCTTACCCGTATACCTAGCCTCCTGATGAGTTGGTGAAACTCCGACGAAACAGTTTGTCACAGCCCCTCGTTTGTTGTCCTCTTCTCTCTCTCTGCCCACGGTTTACCGAGCAGTTCTGTTTGTGACGATATATATATATTCTTCGGCCTACTGGACAGCCTACTGGACCTAAGGGGGGGGGGGGTACTGGGGTGTGTGCAGAACTCCAAGTACCCCAACTTTGGTGATTTTTTTTAAAACAATTCTGTAAGAATTTAGCGCTTCGGGGCCTCGGGCTACCGGACCCAAGAGGGGTATATGGGGGGTGTGGAAGTACCCCATCTTCGGCAATTTTTTCTTTTTTTTCTGTGAGAACATATGGATTCGGCATACCGGACCCAAGAGGGGTACCGGGGGGTGTGCATGATTCCGTGTACCCCAACTTCGGCGATAGTTTTTTTGTTTACTAATTTCAGGTGACAAAAGTTCCTTTCAAAAAAAAAAAAAAAAAAAAGTTCAGGGGTGCTGCTTAGGTAGTCTGCATAAGGGGGAAAAAAAAATTTCAACAGCAATAAAAAAAAGTGTTTTTGCCCATTTAAAAACGTATACGACAAAACTGAAGAAAATCTGAAAGTGTATTCTGATGAGAGTGGGTGTGACCTGGTAGGACTGATGTTTCAGGCTCGGCGTGTGGATGGTTCGTACGTTTACGCGCCTTGGGAAATCATGGTGGTTTTAAGTAGATTTTGTTCTTTTTTGGAGTATTTTTTCTTCGCATTTTGTGAAGCCATGGGAAGTAAGAAGGTGGAATGGCAGAAGCACGGTGTGGTAGAGTACCGGTGTATGGTGTTACGTGTTTTTTTTTTTTTGGTGTTTCGTCGCTGGATCGTATATAAAAATATATCGATGCAGAGAAGAAGACTTTAATTAGCATTAAATTTTGGACTAGTACCTGGGGCAGATATCATTGGATTGTTCACGTTAATTTCCGTGAACATTCAGAGGTCATCGTGATGGAAAGAAAGAGCATGCGGCTCTTCGGGAGGAGGAGGTGGTGAGATGTAATCAATCCACTGTGGTGTGGAAGGAGAACTTCAATGTGTGGTAGTACAGTGTCGTTCATGTTCAGCTTGCCTCTCTGAATCTCAATGTACTTTGATGCAGACTTTGCTGACTAGCATTAGGACAACCTGTGGCTGTCGTTGGCGGGAGTGTTCACATTAATTTAGCAGCTGTGAGTGTCTGCGGAGATGACAGAGTTATAGAGAGACGGGAAGTTTCCGCGGAACTTTCAGGGAAGACTCGTGGTTCGATCGCTCGGTAGTACGTTGGTACCAGGAGGACATCCAGTGGCCTTAGCTCAATTGGATAGGCGCGCAAGTGGCATTCAGGAAGTCCTGGGGTTGGGGGTTCAATCCCCATGGCCATCTGCGCTATGCTTGGTGCCAACCAACTATCGTCGCCACCCGAATAGAACGCCGGGTTATTATAGCCGTATTTGGTGCAATTTTCAGTCCAGATACGATATACAACGACCGGGCGCTCTATTCGGGTGAAGACGGTAGTACAGTGCCACGTGTGTTTTGCTTCTCTGAGTCTTCAGAGGATGATGCTGGTTCATACACTTTGATGCGGGGACTTGGATTTGCACTTGGACTACCTGCGGCCGTCACGGATAAAATCACATTAGTATCCGTGAACATTCAGAGATGATAGACAGATGGGAAGTCTCTGCGAATCTTCCGCGACAATGGGCCTCGCTGCACGGCTCTCGAAAGGTGCAAAACGAGAGGGAATCTTCCGCTAAAACATGGAAAGATACAGCGACATGATTTTTGTCTTTTGTGCATTTCAAGAGTAGTGCAGCGAGGCCCAATGACATTGGATGGAAATGATAGCTCCGTTCTAGGGGAGGAGGAGGTGGTGAGAGGATGCGATCCGTTGTGGGGAACGGACAATGCGCGGTAGTACGGTGGTACGTTTTGCTTCTCTGCATATCATGCCCCTTTTCTGATGCAGACTTTGCCTGCGAGTGTTATCTGATCGTTCACGTGAGTCGTCTGTGAATGTTCAGAGATGTCAGGTGAGAAGTATACCGTGCGACGTTCTGTCAAAGTCGGCGGACGGAACGATCACTCGTTCTCGGGGAGGAGGAGATGGAAGACTCTGAAGAGGTTGCGGCGGTCCGTTGCGCCGGTCCGTTGTGCCCTGCCACAGTCATAAGGGAACTATGGTGAGAAATTAAGAGGGGGTTAATTCTGAAACTTGAGGTCATGATGATGGGACATTGGAAAAAAATTGTTCTCTTCAATTCGACAGTGTTTTTCCCAAATGCAGTGTTGAACAATTTTTTTATTAAATTTTCTGCAAAATCCGGAGTTCCGACGGAATAAATGATGCTGTCGCATGTCCTGCGGTCTGTGGTCTTTGAATTTGCATTAGATTTTTGAAAAAAAAAAAAGCAGCATTGGTCAGAATGATGAGGGAGATGAGGGTGATGATGAAGTTGCTGAAACAGAGAATCTGATGACGATGATGCAAACATGATGATGTTGATGTGGATGACAGACTGTGAGGTGGGCATTTTTTCCTTTCTCTCTCACCCGTGACCCAACCCGCCCAATTTTGTTTTTGTGCCACCCGCCGGACCCAAGAATTTCAATTCCCACCTCAAGGCGACCCCA